TTCTGCATCTGGGTAGGACAGTCAAGAATAAAAAACGGAAAAGCAGGAGGGGTGCAGTTGCAGCGGCAGGGGTTTTGTTGCCCCCCCCCAAACTGTGCATTTGGAAAGGACGCTGGAAGATAAAAGTGGGAAATCAAAGTGGTGGGGTTGCCGGCAACCTGGAGGAAAACAACACCCTGCCCCTTTCATAGAGGCTCAATCGGGTGTTATTTACCAGGCGACATAGATCTCTTGTGCCCTGGAAAAAAAACCTTTGCCTACCCATTCCCACGCCATAAAGTCCGCACCAAAGAGACAGGGCGCTTCCTTTCTCCAGGTTGTTGACAACCTTACAAAGTCATGGTGGGGGGGCAGTGTTCCCTCTAAGCTGAGTTAGTGTGAGCTAGCTCACCGTTTTTTAGCCTCCGGCCCACACATTTTTGTCTTAGCTCAGGAAGGAGGGCTCCAGAGCAAACTAATGTATGCAGCAGCCAAATGGCTCGCTCACAACTTGAATGCCAGTAGCTCACAGAGTAGAATTTCTGCTCACAAGACTCCACAGCTTAGAGGGAGCAAACTAATGTATGCAGCAGCCAAATGGCTCGCTCACAACCCCGTTATTATGTATATGGAAAGACGCTGCATAATATAAATAAGATAAAACAAAGACGGGGAAAGAAAGAATGCAGATTTTAAGGTTCTTGCGGCTGCCGTCGTCGTCGTCCCCCCGGTGATACTCCCGATAAACACACCTGAAATGCTACAGAATTGGGAGACGGGGCGGAGGGGGGGGAAAGGAAGGCCTTCCCTCTTAAATGGCGCCTGGGAAGCTGACCCCACTACACACTCCAACATTACAACAACAACAAAAACCCCTGAATTTATGGTCACCTCAGCGAGACCCACATAAACAAACACCCCCCGCCGCTTCCCCTCCCACGGGCTCCGCCACTCACTCGGCCGGGGCTCCACGGCGGCGTTCCTTCCCGCACGGCGGCCTCGCTCGTTTCCGCTCTCCCCAAACGGCCGCCGCAGCACGCAATAGATGGGAGGTCGGGCTGCATGAAAGGAAGGCAAACGCGGCCGCCCCTCCCCGGCTCCGCCTCTTCCGCGGGCGGCTGGGAGGGAACCATCCTCCGCCCCTCGGCCCGCCCGGGGGCGAAGGAGCGAGCCGAGGCCTCCTCGTACAGCGCCCCCGGGAGGGCCGAAGGGAAGCGCGGCCTAGCCGGGCCTACCTGGTTACCGTGGCAACGGGGAGGCCTCCGGGTTTTCTTTTTTTTGCGGTGCTCCGCAGCGCCCCGGGGCCCCGGCCCTGTGTGCGCACAGTCCAGTCCTAAGCAGAATTAACACTTTAATATATAATAATGATTATTATGAGTAGAGATGTGAAGGCCCGGAAAAAAAACCGGGAAAATTCGGAAAAAAACCGTTTTTTCCCCGTTTTTTCCCCTGAAGCTTTTTTGTTTTTTTCCGGAAAATTGGAAAAATTGAAAAAAGAAAAGAAAAGAAATTGATTATGGAATGTTTTATTTTAACATGATAAATAAAATATTTTAAGACAAGGTGTTCAAATATTTTCCAAATCATTTCTAAAATATATAATGGTATCAGATTGATCTAATTTCTGTGCACTGAGGACAAGCAAGTCCTAGGTTACAAACTGAACTCTCCAATGCAAGAACAAGATGCATTTCTTCCTTTAGGAGGTACTATTGTCACAAGAAAAGAAAAAGGTTTCAGTTTTGTTTTTGCATGTGGATGGGTATTCTATTTGTAATAATTGTTTGGATACACTATATTTTTAATATGCTAGTTGTGATAATTTCATGCCAAGTAAAAATGTCCATAGTCATTTTTTATGTTCCTAAAGTAACAGAATGACTTTCAATCTAGAAAAGACAAAAAAAATGCTAATGTAGCATTTTTTTCAATTTTTCCGAAACAATTTTTCCGAAACTTTCCGTTTTTTTCCGGAAAAAAACCGGGTTTTTTTCCGAGCTTCAAAATTTCCGGAAATTTTACATCTCTAATTATGAGTAACAGTTCTCAAGTTGCCAACTCTGAGTTGGGAAATTCCTGGCCTGGAGATTTGGGAATGGGAGGCCTAGGTTTGCGGACGGGAAGGTCTTCAACAGGCTGTAGTGCCGTAGTGTCCACAAAGCAGCCATTTTCTGCAGGGGAACTGATTGCAGTAGTCTGGAGCAGTGTTCCGTCTAAGCTGAGTTAGTGTGTGCTCACAAGACTCCACAGTTTAGAGGGAACATTGGTCTGGAGATTGGTTGTACTTTTATTTATTTTTGAAAAGTACTGAGAAACGTTGAGTGATTTCAGCAAAGTACTTTTATTCGGATGGAACAAGACAAAAGTAAGCCGGCTCGCAGGCCGGTTTATATGCTCTGAAAACCCACCACCAAAACACACACCCTACTTCCCTATAGACTATATACAGTAGCCGAGAGTCCCATAGGCTCTCGGCTGCGGACCTGGCCCTCTGATAGGTGCGGGCTAGGATCCGCTCGGCTATTGTTCATGGGGATCGAAGCTTCAGGCTTTTGCATGACCGCGTGGCCCAACGGTCGCGCACATGGTCAGAGCGGAATACATTACAATTTTATTTATTCATTTTTCACATTTATATCCCGCCCTCCCCAGTGGGCTCAGGGATATTCTGGGAGCAGTGTTCCCTCTAAGCTGAGTTAGTGTGAGCTAGCTCACAGTTTTTTAGCCTCCAGCTCACTCATTTTTGTCTCAGCTCAGGAAGGATGGCTCCAGAGCAAACAAATTTATGCAGCAGCCAAATCGCTCGCTCACAACTTTAATGCCAGTAGCTCACAAAGTAGAATTTTTGCTCACAAGACTCCACATCTTAGAGGGAGCATTGTCTGGGAGATGTCCAGCGCTTGCCTAAAGGTTACAAAATCGTAAAAGGGAACACAGGGCTACTAATAGCAAAAAATACAACCTCCCCCCCCCAAAAAAAACCCCAGTGTGTAGGAACAATTTCTAATTAACTGTATAAAACTGAAAATGAAAGATTTATACAAAACCTTATAGATTGCATAATTTTATGTTTGGTTCAATACAATCTTTCAATAGAATGGAATTATGTCTCATGAAATGAAATGAAACCTTCAACATATATGTGCACCATGTCAAAGGGCAAAACACAGGAGTATGCAAAACACAATTCTTCTATTCTCATACAGAAAAAGAGTTTTGGCAACAAGACCTGTGACTTTTGTATTTTCAGCCAGTGATAATCATGACAGCAGTTATATATCTTTCAGTAGACCGTATAACTTTCCAGCAGACTAATATGTCTCCCTGGTAAAGTCACTTTTCCCGTCTTTGTCAGAGTCAAGAATATACATTTTCCATACAGAGCTAGTAAATCATAAAAAGATACAAATATATAAAACATGTACAAAAATTGTAACAAATAATCTGGAACTTCATAATAAGCAATACTCTTGCTCTTTACTACAACTAGCTGTATCTGAAGATGTGAGCGGTGACTCGTGAAAGTTCATACCCTGCCACAAATTTTAGTCTTTTTTTTTGTAATATATTTTTATTTTAATAAACAAAATAATAACGTAAAAGGGGTACAGAAGGGGAAAGGGGACTATATAGGGATTATGAAACAATTATCTTTATGCAGGATATATTAAACAAAGAAGTAAAGAGTTATATCCTCCCCCCCCAATTTTGTCTTTAAGGTGCTACTGGACTTTTGCTCTTTTCTACTCCTACAGACTAACATGGCCATTTATAGCCTGGTTTGCTCACTGAGATTCATTGACTTCCATGGACTTAGAAGGGTGTTTAATGATAGGATATTTTGGAGGTCACGAATGCCTATGGATGCCGTAAGCCTGAAGCTGCGTGATGGCAAATAACACACACAAAACTCTGTTTAGGACTGCAGTCACTCAAATGGTTTATCGATTTAGAGCAATATGTGTTTGTTTGGGGTGGCGGGACAGTGCAATTTCTTTCAGAGGAGCTCAAGGCAACAAGGTTCTCCCTCTCCCATCCTCCATTTTATCCTCACAACAACCCCATGAGGAAAGTGACCCTGAGCTAGGGCTGCCAAGTGGGGGCGGGGGGCAGGTAAACCCCCGCTTTGGAGGCCTGATTTCCGCCGCCGCAGAATCGGGCCCCGGGGGAACTCCGCCCCCCAAAGCGCAGCGTAACATTTTGAGAATTTGCTGATCTTTGATCGTAATAAATCAAATTGAATATCATTAGCAAAAATATCATTGGACAAATAAATATCATTATCAATATCTGCTTTTACCGCTTTCGTTATTATTTTTGGCAGTCTCATTTAATGTTAATAAAAAGTAAATTTGCATATTTCCCAGTAAAAACATGTAATTTTTGTTTATGTCTTGTGGCTCCCAAACATCTGACGTTTATTCTATGCGGCTCTTACATTAAGCAAGTTTGGCCACCCTTGTCCTAGCCTAACACTCTAATCACTATACCCTTGATTACTTTGCTCTTGTAGACTTGATAATTGGGGGGTTTCCCTCTTCTTTCTGGCAGCAGCGTAGGGATGCAGAGTCTCCAGGTGGGATCTGGGGATCCTCTGGAATTACAGCTCGTCTCCAGAGATCAGTTCCCCTGGAGAAAAGGGATACTTTGGAGGGTGGACTCTATGGCATTGTTCCCCACTGAGGTCCCTGTCCTCCCCAGGCTCCATCTGCAAATCTCCAGGAGTTTCCCAATCTGGATCTAGCAACCGTATTCCCCCATCCCCTGCCAGTGGTGGGGGTGGGGACCTGGAAACTCTAAACTGCATGGTAGAGAGAAATCCAGTATATGCAGTTGTCACTCCCCATCCTTGACTTCCTCTGTGCACATCTGGATGAGGGGGGTAGTGAATGAAGTGTTTTCTGTCCCCTAAGCCTGTAAAATTTACCAATATTATGCATGTTTTCTTGGGAGTTCAGTTCAATTTATTTGCTTAATACCATTAGTCATCAGAAAACATTATTCACAAGCATGTATTATCTAAAAAGAGATTCACCAGAGGAATCTAAATGTCCACAAATTAACCAATATACCAGAAAAGGGAAATCAATATATGCATAGCATATTCATTATAATTCATTATAATAAACTTAACTGTGGTCACCTCCACAAAAAATGGCAGCAGATTGCACATGTAATTTTCCCAGCTGCTACAACAAAAGGTACTCTTTTAAGAGTCACATAGGTCACATATTATTAAACAGCAGGTCTCTCCAATATCCATTAACCTAGTAGTGACATCACTAAGGGAAAAAATCTCTCTCTCGCTCTCTGGGATCCTTGTATAAAAGGCAGTGTGGGATGTAATTAGTAGGTAAAGTAAAGGTTCCCTTGCTTGAAAGTTTCCCAATCTGGATCTAGCAACCGTATTCCCCCATCCCCTGCCAGTGGTGGGGGTGGGGACCTGGAAACTCTAAACTGCATGGTAGAGAGAAATCCAGTATATGCAGTTGTCACTCCCCATCCTTGACTTCCTCTGTGCACATCTGGATGAGGGGGGTAGTGAATGAAGTGTTTTCTGTCCCCTAAGCCTGTAAAATTTACCAATATTATGCATGTTTTCTTGGGAGTTCAGTTCAATTTATTTGCTTAATACCATTAGTCATCAGAAAACATTATTCACAAGCATGTATTATCTAAAAAGAGATTCACCAGAGGAATCTAAATGTCCACAAATTAACCAATATACCAGAAAAGGGAAATCAATATATGCATAGCATATTCATTATAATTCATTATAATAAACTTAACTGTGGTCACCTCCACAAAAAATGGCAGCAGATTGCACATGTAATTTTCCCAGCTGCTACAACAAAAGGTACTCTTTTAAGAGTCACATAGGTCACATATTATTAAACAGCAGGTCTCTCCAATATCCATTAACCTAGTAGTGACATCACTAAGGGAAAAAATCTCTCTCTCGCTCTCTGGGATCCTTGTATAAAAGGCAGTGTGGGATGTAATTAGTAGGTAAAGTAAAGGTTCCCTTGCTTGAAAGCCAGTCGAATCCAACTCTAGGGTTGCGGTGCTCATCTCTGTTTCAAAGCCGAAGAGCCAGCGCTGTCCGAAGACGTTTCCATGGTCATGTGGCCGGCATGACTAAACACCAAGGCACATGGAATGCCATTACCTTCCCACCAAAGTGGTACCTATTTATCTACTTGCAATTTCTTGCTTTCGAACTGCTAGGTTGGTAGGAAGGTGGCCAATCCTAATTGGAAACCAGATCCTACACCAACTCTACACTACCCACTACACGGCATGGGTGGTTCAGCTGGGGTTGCCACTTCCCGGTTGGGAATTTCCTGGAGATTTGGGAGTGCAGGGCTTGGGGAGGGGAGAAAGCTCAGCTAGAATGTGTTGTCACTCTAGGACTTCAGTTTAGCTTAGATACTATGATATACCTTAGACTAGAGTCTGCTCCTCCAATGCTGCTGTTTTGACCAAACTAAGTAATCTGTGTAACCTGGAAATCAATTTTAATTTTTGGGAAAACTTCTGGCTGCACCTGGAGGCTGGCAACCCATATGACTTCAGGTGGTCCAAATATGGAGTTATTCACACCTTCATCTTTTGTTTCTTTAACACGTAGAAACAAAGCTTTGGACTGGATGCTCACTGATTTCAGAGTTTATCCTGGATTTGGACTGGTCTAAAAGCTTTGTTGAGCCTCTTTAATTCCCAGATCCTCCTCAAAATCATCAGGAAACTACCTCCCTCCTTCAATGTATCATTTTTCAGAATGACCCAAACCCAGATGTTCAGGAGGGTATTTTTATAAAAGGATTAGTATAATGGAAGAGCTCCAGACGCTTCTGTAGGGGAATAGGATTGTAGTCTATTGCAATATTTCTTGCGTGTTATCACCTTGCTTTTACCTCATTATCTCCTACCTTTGTAATCCTCTCTTTCTGAATTAGGGTATGTCACGATGGAGACATTTTGTTTGGATGGTTTTCTGCTTCTGTAATCCTAGTATTATCGTTAATTGGATGTTTTTCATTGTATGGTTGTTTTCTGGCTGGGAGAGTGGGGTAGAAATCCAATAAATAAATAAATAACCGGCATGTTTCTTTTCTGCCGTTCTTAGACCAAGGTCTTGAACAATAAAAACAAGAAACCTTAAATAAAACCAATTTTGTAACCTGCCTTGGGTCTCAGGCAGAAACGTGGGCCATATTGTGGGCTATTATTTTTTCTTTTTTCTTTTCCAGCATTAAATCTCCCTGGCCGCTATCATCTGATTTGGCTTCATGCAGGATACCTACCCAAAGCAGAAGTTAGATCACACAGCGTGGTGGTGGTGGGGGGCACCCAAATTACTATGCAGGTGTGATAGCCTTAATTTCCAATGAAGACAGATCCAAGTGTGCAGCTGTGTTGGTCTGAAGCAGCAGAACGACGTTTGAGTCCAGTGGCACCTTTAAGACCGACAAAGTTTTATTTAAGATGTAAGCTTTCCTGTGCAAGCACACTTCCTCAGACAAATTGGAACAAAATTTATTCAAGCCTTACATACACGGAGATGGAGTGTGTGTGTGTGGAAGCGTCAGGAAGGACCAGTCAGAGTTAAGATGCATAAGAACAAAGTTTGAGTCCAGCAGCACCTTTGAGACCAACACAGTTTTATTCAAAGTGTAAGCTTTCCTGTGCAAAAGCTTAGGCTTTGAATAAAACTTTGTTGGTCTCAAAGGTGTCACTTGACTCAAACTTTGTTCTGCTGCCTCTGACCAACACCTGAATTTATTAAGATGCCTAAGTGAAGCTGAGATTAGATCAAGGCGGCAAGATCAATGAATGGCAGCAAATTAGCACACAAATACGAGAGCTAGCAAACAGAATTAAGGTAAAGGTCTCCCTTGCTCGAAAGCCAGTCGAATCCGACTCTAGGGTTGCCGTGCTCTTCTCCGTTTCAAAGCCGAAGAGCCAGCGCTGTCCGAAGACGTTTCCGTGGTCATGTGGCCGGCATGACTAAACACCAAGGCGCACGGAACGCTGTTCCCTTCCCACCGAAGTGGTACCTATTTATCTACTTGCAATTTCTTGCTTTCGAGCTGCTAGGTTGGCAGGATTACAGATAAACAGAATTAAACAGACGCCTAAATCCAGCGGGTTTAATTTCCAGTGGTTTCTAAAATGCATTAATGCTGCTTTGCGGAAGCAGAGATTATAACAATAATAATGACGACGAATATGGAAACGATGCGGTGAGCCCTGATTTTTGCAAAGAAACAGCCAAGGCGGAACGGCTTCCACCGCCTCACTATGTCCCGTGGAAGGATCGTCTGCGTACAGGCCATCCTCCGTCACGCATGCGCATCCTCTTTTGCCCTTTCCCTTAACCACGCTTCTTCGGCTTCTCGCCCTCAACAGAATTTGGCCAATGGAGACAAAGCTTGCTAAACAGTGGCCCGTAATATGCGCAGTCTGTCCAATGAAAAGAGGCGATGGTTCGATTGTTGTGAAGCAAGTGCCGGACCTCGGCTGCAGAAAGGGAGAAAGAGGAGGAAAACCGCAGGACGCGCGATGGGTTCGGGGCTGCGAGTCTGAACGGAGTTGGGTGGCTGCGGGCGTCCTCTTTTCTTCCCCCCGAGATGAACTCGCTGGAGCAGGCGGAAGGTAAGGGGGAGGGGGAGGGGGGGGTGTTTTCCCATCATTTCGAAAGGGGCCTTTGCCCGGCGGCTCTCTCCCTCACACCCCCCCCCCAGTCTCCTCCTAAGAGTTTCTCTATTGCTTTACTTATTCTGTCTTAAGTAAACGTGTAACATTATTGGAACATCAGTGTGCCTCTACACGGAAGCTTAGACCTTTGGATAAAACTTTACTGGTCTTGGTCTTAAAGGTGCCACCGGACTCCAACTTTGTTCTGTTGCTTCAGACCGACACGGCTACCCACCAGCGATTATTGTAACGTCTTTATCTTCCACCCTTCTTCCTCCCCCGCGGCATGTTTACTCAGTGCATTTACTTATTCGTTCCTTCCTCCGAAAAATAAGTTTTACACACACGCACAAGTGTGTGACTCAAGCAGGCAAGCCGGCAATTAAGGACTGTTTAAAACAAGACGGAGTGGGCTCCCGTCTCTAGTTCCAGCTCCTGCCAACCTAGCAGTTCGAAAGCAAGAAATTGCAAGGAGATAAATAGGTACCACTTCGGTGGGAAGGGAACAGCGTTCCGTGCGCCTTGGGGTTTAGTCATGCCGGCCACATGACCACGGAAACGTCTTCGGACAGCGCTGGCTCTTCGGCTTTGAAACAGAGGTGAACACCGCAACCCTAGAGTCGGATTCGACTGGCTTTCGAGAAAGGGAACCTTTACCTTTTAAAACAAGCAAACGGCACAACTTGTTTTAGTGCCTGGATTAAAGCAGGTCACCAAATCAATCGCTGCAGGCTGTCCGTAGAACCCTTTCTGCCGTTCGAAGTGGGATTGTATTATGGGGAACTTTTAAATCGCTGCAGTTCTTCTTTCTGCTGGTTTAAACTAGATTTATTTTCTGCTGATTGATTCCCCCCCCCCCCCCATGTAGAGGGAGGCTATAATTGTATGCTGCTGTTTCATTTTTACTGCTTTCTGTGAAATTTTTACTGATATTTATCACTAGGTTTTAAAAAATTATTTTTGTTTCCCCAAGGGGCTTGGGTTAGCACACATAGAATCATAGAGATGGAAGGATCATAGATTGGAAGGACTTCCAGGGTCATCTAGTCCAACCCCCTGCACAATGCAGGAAATTTACAAATACTCTCCACACATACACACACAGAGTTATCCCTGCTTCATGCCCATAAGATAGCAAAAAACCTCCAGGATCACTGGCCAAACTGGCTTGGGAAGAAATTGCTGCCTGACCCCAAAGTGCCGATCAGTATTTCCCTGGGTGTGTAAGAAAGGGCCATGGGAACTACTAAGCGCATCTCTTCCTGCCTTCCTTCTCATGATCTGTCTGAGTTCACATCATTCTGCCTTCCTCCCTTTCATCCTCACAATAGCCCTGTAAAGTAGATTAGGCTGTGTATAAGAGAGAGGTTTATTTATTTGGAATATTTTTATCCTACTCTTCAAGAGTCACAGACTCAGCTGCGTAGCCATGTTGGTACTTATGCATCTTGATTCTAACTAGCCCATCCTGGCAACTAAACCCCACCTCTACCTATATGTAACAGTTGTGGAAGTCTGTTTCGATGTATCTGAAGAAGTGTGCCTGCACATAAAAGCTTAGACCCAGAATGAAGCTTTGTTGGTCTTATAGGTGCCACTGGACTCAAACGTTGTCCAAGAGTCCCATACGCTATGGACTACCAAAAAGTCAACTAAGTGAGTCCTAGATCAAATCAAGCATGAATTCGCCCTAGAGGTTACACTGAGTAAGCTGAGGCTGTTGTACTTTGGTCACATTATGTGAAGATAAGACTAACTGGAAAAAAAACAATCAGGCTAGGAAAAGTTGAAGGCAGCAGGAAAAGAGGAAGACCCAACTCAAGACGAAGTTATTCAATCAAGGAAGCCACAACCCTCAGTTTGCAATGATAAGACATTTTGGAGGCCGTTAATTCATAGGGCTGCCCTAAGTCAGAAGCGACCTGACAACACTTGACACACACACACTTCAAGAATCTCTGGGCAGTGTATGTAGTTGTGCTTCTATGTGATCCTGACAGTTCTGTGCAGTAGGTCAGGCTGGGTTTTTTTAAATATATTTAGCATATTTCTAGCCTATGTTTCCTCCAAAAGGTTAGAGAGTGGCTTGTTTGCTATAACAGACTAATTCTGCCCTTCAAGAATTGGATGCTTGTGTTTCTCAACAAGCGGAAGGCCCCATTCACTGCTCATTTTAGTTTAGCCACATTTACTAGACATTTGTTCAAAGTAAATGAAAGGCAAAAGCCGGAACAAAAAGTGAAACTGAATATGCAGGAGCGATTTTGATAATACTGGGCAAGTCTAAAGGTAAAGGTAAAGGTTCCCTTGCTCAAAAGCCAGTCGAATCCGACTCTAGGATTGCGGTGCTCATCTCCGTTTCCAAGCCGAAGAGCCGGTGCTGTCCGAAGACGTTTCTGTGGTCATGTGGGCGGCATGACTAAACACCAAAGCGCATGGAACGCTGTTCCCTTCCCACCGAAGTGGTACCTATTGATCTACTTGCAATGTCTTGCTTTCGAACTGCTAGGTTGGCAGGAGCTGGAACTAGAGACGGGAGCTCACTCCATCATGCGGCACCCGGGTCTCAAACTGCTGAACTACTGGCCTTCCACAGCCTGCAGTTCAGCGTCTTAACCACTCTAGTGGTTTATAATTTGCAGAAATGACAGTGATAAGTATTATAAACTAATACTTATTTAAAACTGAGCATCCTGCATCAAATATCAGATAATAATAATAAATAGCTGTCATCTAAGGTAATCTTACCCATCCCTTTGCCCAGGCAACCGCATGTCCTCCTGTTTCTTACTTCTGAAGAAAAAAAAAGGAACAGAACAAGGTATTACCAGTTTTCACTGGTTTTCAGTATGCAGGGAGTGAGGGAGCATGGGTAAGAATTCATGGGGCACAGTGGCATTTTGTGACACATCCATGTTATTTTATTTTTTGCAAATGAGGGTCAAGAATTCAAAACGTACATTAAAACAGGACAAGCGTAATTAGATTTCTCCTTCCTCTGTTTCAGACCTCAAGGCTTTTGAAAGGAGACTTACAGAATACATAGCTTGTCTGCAGCCGGCTACCGGGCGCTGGAGAAGTAAGACTTTCCATCAGGGTGGTAATGGGTATTAATGCTTGGCTCAAATTGTACTAGTATACTTTCTAAGAGTGTTTGTTCGTTTGTTTGAATCACACTGTGTTGTATATTGAGGAAGAGAGGAAGAGACCATGCCGTGAACAGTATCATCAAGAGTATTCAGTAATACTGTAGATTTAATTTATCGGTGCACTTTCTAGTACAAGTGTTGCACAACATTACATATTTGCTTGAACAAGAAAATAAAATATGGGGTCAGGCTGCTAGCAATGTTTCCTCTAAGCTGTAGAGTCCCGTGAGCAAAAATTCTACTTTGTGAGCTACTGGCATCAAAATTGTGAGCAAGTGATTTGGCTACTGCATAAATTAGTTTGCTCTGGAGCCCTCCTTCCTGAGCTGAGACAAAAACATGTGAGACGGAGGCTAAAAAAACTGTGAGCTAGCTCACACTAACTCAGCTTAGAGGGAACATTGGCTGCTAGTCTTATACAGTAGAAAAGAGTAAGTTCAGTAGCACCTTCTAGACCAGTGGTGGCGAACCTATGGCACGGGTGCCAGAGGTGGCACTCAGAGCCCTCTCTGTGGGCATGCGTGCCATCGCCCCAGCCAGGCCCAGACCATCATTAAAGTGTCAAATTCTCTGCCAAATAATTTTAATTTAGGGTTGCTTTTCTTACTTTGTTTGGATCATCTTAAGTTAATGTATGAGTTGTTTTTTCTAAAGTAAAACCTCAGTATTCAGGTTAAATTGCCGTGTTGGCACTTTGCAATCAATAAGTGGGTTTTGGGTCACAGTTTGGGCACTCAGTCTCTAAAAGGTTCGCCATCACTGTTCTAGACTAATAAAATCTGTGGTAGGGTATGAGCGTTTGTGAGTCACTGCTCACTTCAGATTCAGCTAGAATGTGAGTCCTTCTATATAAAGTGGAGTGATTTCAGATGCCAAATGACAATAGAAGGTGTGATTGGATTAGGTGTGGTGTGCAGAGAGGTAGTAGACGTGGCGAAATCAGCATGGGTAGTGAGACAGGAAACCTCCGTCTCAGTTCAATCAGGTGGATGCATTGTCTTGAGCTTCCTTATCAGTTGCAATTCAGCAGTCTTTCTAATCTCCCTTTGAAATCCCTTTGTAAGATAACTGCTACTTCTAGGTCAGCAACTGAATATCCTGGAAGGTAAAAATGTTCCCCCACTGGTTTTTCAGTGTTGTGGTTTCTGATGTCAGACTCACGTCCATTCATTCTTTGTCGAAGGGACTGGCCTGTTTGTCCAGTGTAGAGGGTGGAAGGGCGCTGCTGACATGTGATGGCATAAATCACATTAGAGGATGAACAGGAATAGGAACCTGAGATGGCATGGCTGATGTTGCTGGGTCCAGTGATGGTGTTGTTAGGATCTGTACGATAGCAAAGTTGGCTGCTTGGTTTGTTGCAGGCCTTGGTACCTGAGCCCATGTTACTGTCAAGTAGTTTATCATTGCGGGTGAGAAGTTGTTTTAGGCCCCGGCCACATGGGAGGTTTTGGGCCGGAAGAGGGACGGATCGGGGGCGCAGCAAACGGGCGCGATCTCACCGCAACATCTGGGAATCGGCACGCACCCGTCCCCGATCTGTCCCTACGGCCCAGTGCTGCGGAGCAAAAAAACCCCAAGTAAAGAGAAAGACTTACCTGAAACGCCGCAGCAAGCGCGGCCGTGGGATCGCCGGCGCGGCCGTTGTCAGGAGCATTCGAGGTTCCTGGCCGAACCGCACACGCGCACGAATGCGCAGCCGGCTGCCTCGGTCTCCCGTCGGAGGCTTCGTCCCCGGCATCTGATCGTGCTGGGGGGCAACTGCGCGGCAGCTCAGGGGATCTGTGTGATCCCGCCGCCACGTGTCTCTTTTGGTGCGGCTCTAAAAAGCCGCACTTTGGCCGTGTTTTTTTCTGCCGTGTGGCAGGCGCCTTAGATTAGCAGGCTGTCTGCAAGCAAGAAAAGGTCAGCCCCCCAGTGTCTGTGTGAGGGAAGTGTCACTATCCAGCATGGGTTGGAGGTAATTAATAATGCATTGAACTGGCTTGAGTTGTGAGCTGCAGGTGACCACCAGTGGAGTTCTGTTGTCATTTTCTTTGGGCTTGTCTCGTAGCAAGCTGCCCCATGGTATCATTCTGGCTTTTCCAGTCATCTCACCATATCAGGAGGATACGCATATCGCACCTCCTCCAATCACACCTTCTCTAGGGTTGCCAAGTGGATTTTCGCTGGGAGCGGGGGGCTCCCAGCTGGCGTCAGTTGCGCGCACGCGCCGCATGCACGTCACCCAGAAGTGACGTGACGACGCCAGGCACGCTGGGGGCGGGGGCACGGCCATACGAGGGAAAACCATAGAGTTTTCCCTCGGATGGCTGTGGCTCCGCCCCCAGCGTGCCCTGCGTGGTCGCGTCATTTTTGGGTGACGCGCACGTCGGGGAGGAGTTCCCCCCGGGGCCCGATCCGGCGGCGGGGAATGGGCCTAACTTTCTTGTCATTTGTCTGCGAATGTTGTTTGGCATCTGAAATCACTCCATTTCCCCATATATAGGACAGATGGACTCCCATTCTAGCTGTATCTGAAGACGTGAGCAGTGACTCATGACAGCTCCTCCCCTGCCACAGATTTTGTTCACCTTTAAGGTGCTACTGGACTCTTAACTGTTTTCTACTGCTACAGATAAACTAACATGGCTACCCATCATGTGCTAGTAAAGGGAGCGGTGGCGCAGGCAGTAAGAACGCAGTAAGAACATCTATGAACAGCCACTATGGCTGTTCAAAACCCACCGTGGCCGGGGTGAGCTCCCGGCCCTAGTCCCAGCTCCTGCCCACCCAGCGGTTCGAAAGCAAGACGCAAGTAGATGAATGGATACCTGCCCTTAGGTGGCAGGGGGCACCCTCCTCCTCGTGGGGTGTGCGGCGGTGGCAGCGGCGGCGGAGTGTGGTGGTGGAGCGATGACAGAGTGACTGAAGGGTGTTCCTGAACGTGACGGCCCCGATGTGCGATGCTGGGAGGTGGAGCCTTGAGGTGCGGCGGCATGTCAGCGCAGCACGAAGGAGCCGAAACAGACGTTGGCCAAGCAGTAGCTGGCGAGCCGCGCACCGAGCAATGGGCCTGCCGGAAGCTGCTGGAAGACTGGCCCCAGGAAAAACCAGAGGTGGAGCGCCTGCCAAGAGACGACCACGCTGAAAAAACCATCAAGCCCTGCTGCCTGGGTGCGGATAGGCAGCCATCCCCCTTGATAAAATGTGGCCCTAGATTAGGATTAAATCGAATTGTAAACCGCTCAGAGACCCTTCGGGGTTGGAGTGGTCTTGAAATCGAATGCATAAATAAATAAATATAGTCTTATTGTCAGGTATGCAAAAGGGGACTGTTCTGGGATTCTGAAAAGGCAGAGCAGTTAGGCTGTGTTGGTATTATATTTTAGTAAAATAAAACCGAAGTCCGGTGGTACTTTCAAGACGTAACAAATATTGATTTTGGATTTGCTCAGCACGTGTTGACTACAGCTCACTGGTTCTCACTAAGAAACTTAGACAAGCAGCCCGTATAGCAGAAGGGATGATTCCATGTAGGTTCTAGTGAAACACTGCTATGTCTAGTTAGGAAAGACAAGTGTTTAGAGCAGAAGTAACCTATGCCTCGGAGCTGCGGTGGCTCAAGTGGTTAAGACGCTGAACTGCAGGCTGTGGAAGGTCAGTAGTTCAGCAGTTCAAGACCCGAGTTGCCGCATGACGGAGTGAGCTCCCATCTCTAGTTCCAGCTCCTGCCAACCAGCAGTTCGAAAGCAAGAAATTGCAAGTAGATCAATAGGTACCACTTTGGTGGGAAGGTAACAGCGTTCCGTGCACCTTGGTGTTTAATCATGCCGGCCACATGACCATGGAAACGTCTTTGGACAGCGCTGGCTCTTCGGCTTTGAAACGGAGATGAGCACCGCAACCCTAGAGTCAGATTCGACTGGCTTTCAAGCAAGGGAACCTTTACCTTTACCTTTTTTAACCTATGCCTCAGAGAAGCCTCTCTTGGGTTCGGAAATTTGCAGCTGTTCTAAGGAAACTGGTTGTCCCAATCAAAATAGCTCTTCAGCTCTTCTGTAAGTATGCAAAGTAACCATTTAAGCATTGCACTGATTTCAGTGGGATTTCACCACACCTACCTTCGTCTGGACATAATCTTGTAACTAATTCAAGCTGACTCCCTTTTATTTATTTACTTATATCGTCCAGCTTTCTCACTGAGACTCAAGGTGGATTTCACAGCATGGGTCAATGCAGTCAGTAAGATGGGACATCTAATAAGCGATACAATTGGACTAGGGGAACAAAAGTTTGAAACAATGCAAAAAGTAGTAGATGTTATGTGTCTAATAATGAATTATCGATTGCTCTCACGCAAAACGCGTTTTAATGTTTTCCCTTCTCGTTAGTAATTCTTATAGTGGTATCTGTATGCACGGCAACTGGGGCTTGGAACTGGCTAATAGATCCAGAAACGCAGAAGGTGGGTAATACCTTTCCGTAAAATTTAAATGGTGTGAGGTTCCTATTGCATTTCTTTGAATTTGCTATGAACACAGTGTTCGGTGTCTGCTAACAAGTGCAATCGAACGCAAAAGTTATTTCGTCCTGAGCCCATCGAAACCAGTGGAGTAACTCTGCATGAGAATAAAACAGGGTTTACTTACCAGTAACTGTTGTTCATCCAGTTGTCCTGTGCAGGCACACATCCCTCCCTCCTGCCCCGCATGAGCCATTAAAGCAAACAACAACAACAACAAAACAAAACAAAAAACAAAACAAAACAACAAAACAAAAAACACACCAAAAATACCAACAACAACTGCACATCGCGTGAGAGTGTCTCTCTCTTTATATTTAACAGTATATAAGGCTCGTGGCGGCTGCGGGAGAACTGAGGGTGTGTGTGTGGAGCTTTCCCCTTTATAGCGCCTCATTGGAGGGAAGCGCTCTCATTCGTGCACAGGGGAAGCTCCTCCCACTAGTTGTCAAGCTAGAAAAAATCTTCCGCGGCAGGCCTGCGCGTGCGCAGATCCCATGTGGGACTGCACAGGGCAACGCAGATGAACTTCAGTGGAGTGAAATAACTTAAAAAAAAAAATTATTATTAAATTGGATTTGCTAGGCCGCCCTCCCCTATAAGAAGGACTCAGGGCGGCTTACAAGAAAAATAGTATACAAAATCTCAATATAAAACTACGGTAAAACACACCAATAAATATGAATAGAGAAAACAGTATGCATACAATGTACAAGATGGTAAAAAACCCCATCAAATAACAACTGTGTACTGCACAAACCCGCACCAAAGTTAACAAAAAGAGACTTCAACACAAAGGCAATTCAACACATGTAATCCATCATAGGAAAAAAAGAAAAGTCCACAATATCCCAAAGGGAAAGAACAAAGTCCAGAATAGAAATTTCTCAAAGGGAAACAATGAAGTCTGGAATAGATATCAACACTTTTCCTAGGTATTGTTCAGTGTTTCGGACTTCTGGTCCTTCCTCAGGAACAAGAAGCCACTACAGGAAGTCTCATTGCAATTTCTTAACAGGCAAACTTCATTCAGTTTCTATATGGGCCAGGTATCCTAAGCTTTAGGAAGCACCTACCAAGGTTGCTATTATGTAAGTTGGACCAAACATGCCACCTTTGTTCGTTCCCTTTGGGATATTATGGACATTTGTATTTTCCTATGATGGATTACATGTGTTGAATTACCTTTGTGTTGAAGTCTCTTTTTGTTAACTTTGGTGCGGGTTTGTGCAGTACACAGTTGTTGTTTGATTTTTTGGGGGGGCCATTGTTTACTGTGGACTGTATTATTGTTGTTGTTACAATATACAAGATGGCAGGAAAAATTCCAACTCTCCAGCCTCCCTGGGGGGAGGGGTTACGAGGGGCGGGGAAATGTATGAGCGTGCCAAAGGGTGCCCCCGCTGCTGTCCTCAACCAAAGGTAGAGTGAAGCTGATGATGAATGAAGCATCAGAGACCAGCAGTGATTGTTTGTGTTTTGTTTCTGTCTACTGTGACAGCGTTCTGGAATTCTTGGAAAAAAGTAATAGTATTTTAACTGAACGTCTGTTATTCTAAACCAGTGGGAGTTCTAATAAAACAATCATTTCGTTCTCTCCTAGGTATCGTTTTTCACATCGCTGTGGAACCACCCATTCTTCACAATTAGCTGTATTACCCTGATAGGGTTATTTTTTGCTGGGATACATAAGAGAGTGGTGGCGCCCTCGATGTATCCTTTTCAGAGTACTTCCTGGGTGAAAAAGCCAAGATGTATGCCGTACAGCAATTGTCATTTATTTAACCATCCTTTGCATATAGAGTTACTCGGTGTTAGAAGTTTGGGGTTTTTTTTTAACTACTGTTCCTTCTGGGAGTGGTAAGTCAAAGCACAGAAGGAGCACAAATTCATCTTTTTTTTTTAAATGCCCCCGGAGGGGAGTTTTTATTGATTTTTTTATAACTACAAAAAACTACAACAGAAAAAAGGGGGGGGGGAATACTATACGGGAGAGAGTAAAGTACCCACTACTATCTAAATACCCAAGAAAGAAGATCCTCCAACTAGCTTAGATACATCAAGTCTTCTCATTGTTGATCCTTTTATAAACTGAGTCAAACATTTAAAACCTTTTACCTCTACAAATACATCTTATTGAAGGGACTCTTGCTTCTGGCACTGTTTGGGTGCGACAAGTCAGGTCATCTCTGTCTCTTCCCAGCCTGGCACTCTGTACCATAGAGTTGGCCAATGTTCCCTCTAAGCTGTGGAGTCTCATGAGCAAAAATTCTACTTTGTGAGCTAGTGGCATTAAAGTTGTGAGCAAACCATTTGGCTCCTGCATTAATTAGTTTGCTCTGGAGCCATCCTTCCTGAGCTGAGACAAAAATGTGTGAGCTGGAGGATAAAGAACTGTGAGCTAGCTCACTCTAACTCAGCTTAGAGGGAACACTGGTTGGGTCTGTATCCTGTCTCCTAGCCCAACAACTTTTGCTTTCCTCCTTGAAGCTCTTGACCAAGGCAACAAGACACATTGCTCTTGTTGGAGCATCCAGGCAGGGGAGTGGAAAAGTAAACAATAGGGGGAAAATACTCCCACCTCTGGAACAACTCCCACCGAAGTAACTAACTGAGTTTGCTGTGGTCACATGAACGCAGGTAATGCATCACTTGAGCCTTGCTTTACTTATTCTAAGTTTAGAGACTGGCGTGTTTCTTTGACACACTGTGTACAGAATAGCCGCTCGATGTCGGACGGTCCTGGCAGAGTACAACATGTCGTGTGATGATGTAAGTGGCTTTTGCTTTATGTGTAAGTTTTAGAATTGGGGACAGAACTATAATGGCTGCGGTCACACGGAACATTAGCCACGCTACAGGGACGGAAGATAGGCGGATTTTCTGGGCGCGATCACACCGCCACATCTGGGAAGCGTAGAGCTCCCGTGGCTCATCCGAGGCTTCCTGCCGAAGATGCAGGGTAAAAAACTAGTACCTCCGAGGTACTAGTTTCCGGAAACCGCAGGGTAAGGGCAGGCATCTGATCGCGTTTCCGGTGGCATCTGGCGCCCGCCCATGTCCCCTCGCAAAAAGGGTTTTTTCCCCCAAGTCTCCGTGGATGCGCACAAGCACCCAACGGAGCATGCACATACTTTGGTGTACACAAAAAACCCCCTCCGTTTGCCGCACCGCTTCTTTGCCGCGCCGTAGGATTGTCCTGTGATCGGCACCTCCCCCCTAAACACGGGACCTCCACCAGACGTCTGATTGCGCAACCGCGCGTTATTTTGCCCCGGGGCAAACAGCCACGCTCCCCCCCCCCCCCCTTTTCCTCCCCGCGTGAGCAGAGACC